CTAGTGATTCCGGCCATGAAAACCTTCGACAATACATTAAACATCTCTATGGGGAGAAACTGTTTGAAGACACACGAAGATTGGAAAAACCAAAGACCAGGAAAGCCTACCGGCTGTTAGGAATTGTGGGAGTTGGAGTCCAAAACACCTGGAGGGCCCAAGTTTGCCCATGCCTGATTATAATAATCATCCTAGGCCAGTGGCTACCCAACCTCTGCTTTCAAAACCTCTAAGGAAGGAAAATCGACCACTTTCCAAGGCGGTCCCTTCCACTTTGGAACATGCCTTGCTTTATTTTCATGACGACGAAAATATTTATATCTTGCCCTATATTGAAACAACTCAAGCGAAAGTTGTAGAGCAGTTTGCGGCACAGCGGAGAGTCTGCAAATAGACGCTTGCCATCCCTAGACAGGCGAGAACATGCTGTGAGCGAGGAAGGCGCCTCTCGAACCCAGAACAGGGGGGCAAAGGGGGCGCATCCCTGCCCTCTTGCCGAATCCTCCCTGACAAGAGCGAGGGAGTGTTGAAGGCCCAAGACGTCTTGCGATGGAGGACATCCTAGCAAGATCTCAGAGTAGGAAGGGAGGTTAGCAAAGGTCCGCGCATCCAGAAATTTGAAACAGGCTGGCAAACTGTCCCAGTTTTCCTGCAACTCAGAAGAGTGGGATTTGGCCAAAAATAGTCAAGATTCAGTCAAGGTAATATTGTCTTCTTTGAAGGCAGGATCATGGGATCTTAGAATTGAAAGGGACTCCAAAGCCCATCTAGTCCTACCCCCTTCTGCCAGGCAGGAACATTCAACTAAAGCACCTTAGTTATTTAATCCAGTGTTTCTCAGCCTTCCTAATGCCGCGGCCCCTTAATACAGTTTCTCATTCTCTCGTGATGTACGACGGTTGAATGAAAAGTAATGCCTCCCCCTTCGTAACTCCTCAACAGATGGCAGTACTGGTATGTGGCAGGAACTGGCTTGTTTAGTAGGCTCTCCTCTACAGTTCCATTTAGGCGTGAAGCCTTAGCATTGAAGAGAAGGCTGAGAGGAGATATGATAGCCATGTATAAATATGTGAGAGGAAGCCACAGGGAGGAAGGAGCAAGCTTGTTTTCTGCTTCCCTGGAGACTAGGACTACTAACGGGTGCTGGGTCCAGGGAGCACACCACTCCGCTGTTACACCAGCTCCACTGGCTGCCAATTAGCTTCCAAGCACAATTCAAAGTGCTTGTGTTAACGTATAAAGCCCTAACGACTCCGGCCCTGTTTACCTCTCCGAACGGATTCTCCCCTATGAACCACCAAGATTACTAAGATTGTCTGGAGGGGCCCTGCTCTCGGTCCCACCAGCATCGCAAGCGCGTCTGGTGGGGACGAGGGACAGGGCCTTCTCGGTGGTGGCCCCTCGACTCTGGAATTCTCTCCCACTTGAGATCAGAACCGCCCCTTCTATCCTGACATTTAGGAAACAGGTGAAGACTTGGTTATGGAGACAGGCATTCGACGAGTGAGCCAACACCCTGAGACATGGATGGAGGATGATGAGCAATGATTTTAGTGTGACGACTGACCATTATAGTTATTGATTGTAATTGCTGTTTTAATGTTTTACTGTAATATTTATTATGATGTTTTATTGATTGTCTGTGATATTATGGTTGGAAACCAGTCTGAGTCCCTCAAGAGAGGTGAGAAGGCCGGTATACAAAACTTTTAAATAAATAATTAAATAAAATAGGACACGGAACAATGGCTTCAAACTACAAGAAAGGAGATTCCACCTGAACATGAGGAAGAACATCCTGACAGTGAGAGCCGTTCAGCAGTGGAACTCTCTGCCCCGGAGTGTGGTGGAGGCGCCTTCTTTGGAACCTTTTAAACAGAGGCTGGATGGCCATCTGTCAGGGGTGATTTGAATGCAATATTCCTGCTTCTTGGCAGAATGGGGTTGGACTGGATGGCCCAGGAGGTCTCTTCCAACTCTTTGATTCTATGATTCTATGATCTATGATTCTATGATTCTATGAATGGTCATGTTGTTAAAGTGCACAGTATGGAACCCTGTGCAGATGGTCGGTCAATGCGACTTAAGCAACATGCAGTCATTGAATTCTTGACAGCAGAAGGTGTCACCCCAAAGGAGATTTATCAGAGAATGCAAGCTGTTTATGGTGATGGTGTTGATGTGAGTACTGTGTGTCATTGGGCGAGTAAGTTTAAAGATGTTGAGGTGGGAACATCTGACTTGCGTGACAAACAAAGAGTTGGACGTCCTGTGACGGCAACCACCGAGTCTCACAAGCAAAAGGTTGACAGATTGATTCAGGACGATCGGCGTATCAATCAGAGAGAAATTTCGAGCATAATCAGCATTGCACAAGAATGTGTGAGTCACATTATTGCTTGGCTTGGCTATCGGAAGATCTGTGCACAATGGGTACCCAGGATGCTGACACCTGAAATGGAAACACACAGACTTCTTCTGTGATGGGTTCAGAAAACTTGTTCATTGTTGGCCGTTGTTGTTCATTCGTTCAGTCGTCTCCGACTCTTCGTGACCTCATGGACCAGCCCACGCCAGAGCTCCCTGTCGGCCGTTACCACCCCCAACTCCCTCAAGGTCAGTCCAGTCACTTCAAGGATGCCATCCATCCATCTTGCCCTTGGTCGGCCCCTCTTCCTTTTGCCTTCCATTGTTGGCAGAAATGTATCCAATTGTCTCGTGATTATGGGGAAAAGTGGTTCGTGGTACTTAAAGAGCACATTCTAAGGATTATTTCTGCGTTTGCTTTATTAAAATATTCCCATCCAAACCCAAGTAACGAAGGTGGAGGCATTACTTTACATTCAACCCTCATCAATTTCATTCACTGGACCAAATTTGGCACAAATACCCGATATGCCCAAATTTGAATAATGGTGGGGTTGGGGTGGGGGATAGATTTTGTCATTTGGGAGTTGTAGTTGCTGGGATTTATAGTTCACCTACAATCAAAGAGCATTCTGAACCCAACCAACGATGAGATTGGGCACTCAGAATTCCCATGACCAACATGGGAAATGTTTGGTGGGCATTGACCTTGAGTTTGGGAGTTGTAGTTCACCTACATCCAGAGAGCACTGTGGACTCAAACAATGATGGATCTGGACCAAACTTGTCATGAATACTCAATATGCAAAATGTGAACACTGCCGGAGTTTGGGGAAAATAGACCTTGACATTTTGGAGTTGTAGTTGCCAGGATTTATAGTTCACCTGCAATCAAAGAGCATTCAGAACTCCCCCAACGACGGGATTAGGCCAAACTTGGCACTCAGAATCCCCATGACCAACATGGGAAGGGTTTGGTGGGCATTGACCTTGAGTTTGGGAGTTGTAGTTCACCCATCTGCTCTAAGTCCCTCTAGAGAGATAAAGCAGAACATAAATAAAGGTATTATTCTTCCTTCTCCTGGAAAAGAGAACCGCACATAGGCCAGATTGTGTTCCCAGCAAATCTGCCATTCTGTGAATACACCACCTTCCTCTGTCCCTTGGAGAAGATGGCGGGTGGACCAGACTCCTCTAGTTTGCCACAATTTTTGGATTGTAAAGTGTCTCTTATATAACATACTAGCTTTACCTGCCACGCGTTGCTGTGGCCAACCTTCTCTCCCTCTTTCTCTCCTTCTTTCACTCCTTCCTTCATTTCCTTTTCTTCTTTCCTTTCTTCCTTCTCTACCTGTTTACTTCCTTCCTTAGCTTTTTGCTCCCATCCTTCCTTCTCTTTATTTCTTTCCTTCCCTCCCTCTTTCTCTCCTTCTTTCTTTCTTCCTTTCCTTCTTTCCTCCCTTCCCTTTTTCTTTCCTTCTCTCCCTTCCTTCTCTTCCTCTTTCCTTCCTCCCCCTTTTTTCCTTCCTCTTTCTCTCCTTTCTTCCCTCTATCTCTTTCCTTCCTTCCTTCGCTCTTGACTTCCAGACTTCCTTTTCTTTCTTTCTTTTTTTCCCTCCCTTTCTCTTCTTCCTTTGCTTTTTTCCTCTCTTCCCCTTCCCAAATTCCCCTTCCTTTCTTCCTTTCTTCCTTTCTTCCTTTCTTCCTTTCTTCTTTTCTTCTTTTCTTCTTTTCTTCTTTTCTTCTTTTCTTCTTTTCTTCTTTTCTTCTTTTCTTCTTTTCTTCTTTTCTTCTTTTCTTCTTTTCTTCCTTTCTTCCTTTCTTCCTTTCTTCCTTTCTTCCTTTCTTCCTTTCTTCCTTTCTTCCTTTCTTTCTTTCTTTCTTTCTTTTTCCTTCCTTCCTTCCTTCCTTCCTTCCTTCCTTCCTTCCTTCCTTCCTTCCTTCCTTTTGAGACCTTCCCTTTCTTCTTTTTTCTATCTTTCTTTCCTTTCCTCCTTCCTTCCTTTCTCCCTCCTTTCCCATCCTCCTTCTCTCTCTGTATTCTTTCTTTCCTACCTTTCTTCTTTCATATACCTTTTCAACTTCCCTCCCTTCCTTCCTTCCTTCCTTCCTTCCTCCATTCGTGCAGCATCCTGGCCCCCAGCGAGCAGGCTGCGTTCTAGAACTACAGTTCCCAGAGTGCATTGCATGTGTACTTCCTCCCCTGGGCACTGCGCATGCTCAGTTGGTTTTTGTAATTGTGAGTTTGTTGAATTCCAAATGTTGTTTGGAATTTTGATTCACGTTATGCATACCTTGTGGGTTGAGGTATGTGCACGGCAAATTTAGTGAGTTTTCGTCAGGGGGTTTCCGCGTTTTGCTGTCCCGTTGAACACCCTTTCCATTTTTATATATATAGATTTCTTGCTGATGTTGTTCCAAATTGTTGCAAATGAATGACAAGTTATTTCCCAGCTCAAACATGCTGACTCCATCAGTTCTGTTAGGCTGTTAGAAATTGTCAGAGTTGAACTCCAAAACACCGGGAGGGCCCAAGTTTTCCCATGCCTGGCCCACTGAGACCAGTATGGCATGGTGGTTTGAGCACTGTGCTAACCTGTGTTTCTCCCTCTCTCTCTTTCCTTGTCCTCCGCAGAGCCATGGGGGTCCTGATGTCCAAGCGTCAGACGGTGGAGCAGGTCCAGAAGGTCAGCCTGGCAGTCTCGGCCTTCAAGGACGGCCTGCGGGAGCGTCCGGCCGCCAAGCGCAAGTCGGAAGGCACCATCATCACCCGCCGAGGGACCCTGGAGGACACCGTCCAGGAGCTGAAAGAGGAGGACGAGGAGGAGGATTCGGAAGCAGGGTCTTCTTCGGCCGGATCCTCACGTGCGGCGGCCAGAGCAGCGGCCAAAGCGGCCTGGGAGAGGCTGCGAGACGGCAAAGGCATTGAGCCAGAGGAGTTTGCTCGGAACAGGTTCTTCTCACCGCCGGCCTTTGTCCGCCCCAAACGAGGGGAGCAGGATGACGACCCCATCGAGATCAGCTTGGAGGAAAGAGAGCAGGTGAGCAGACCTAGGCAAAATAGCTGCCACATCGTCGTTGTATGAAGATATAGGCTGCAACGGGACATATTGCTACCAATGACCAATAGAGTTGTACCGAAGTGGATTCAGAGAGAGCCACTGAGACCTTTCTCATACTTATAGAATCATAGAATCAAAGAGTTGGAAGAGACCTCATGGGCCATCCAGTCCAACCCCATTCTGCCAAGAAGCAGGAATATTGCATTCAAATCACCCCTGACAGATGGCCATCCAGCCTCTGTTTAAAAGCTTCCAAAGAAGGAGCCTCCACCACACTACGGGGCAGAGAGTTCCACTGCTGAACGGCTCTCACAGTCAGGAAGTTCTTCCTCATGTTCAGATGGAATCTCCTCTTGTAGTTTGAAGCCATTGTTCCCTTGCGTCCTAGTCTCCAGGGAAGCAGAAAACAAGCTTGCTCCCTCCTCCCTGTGGCTTCCTCTCACATATTTATACATGGCTAATATCTCCTCTCAGCCTTCTCTTCTTCAGGCTAAACATGCCCAGCTCCTTAAGCCGCTCCTCATAGGGCTTGTTCTCCAGACCCTTGATCATTTTAGTCGCCCTCCTCTGGACACATTCCAGCTTGTCAATATCTCTCTTGAATTGTGGTGCCCAGAATTGGACACAATATTCCAGGTAAAGTGGTCTAACCAAAGCGGAATAGAGCATGGGGAGCATGACTTCCCTAGATCTAGACACTAGCTCCTCTTGATGCAGGCCAAAATCCCATTGGCTTTTTTTGCCGCCACATCACATTGTTGGCTCATGTTTAACTTGTTGTCCACGAGGACTCCAAGATCTTTTTCACACGTACTGCTCTCGAGCCAGGCATCGTCCCCCATTCTGTATCTTTTCATACACTTGGGAAGTGTCCGACATGTGATCCAATTCAACAGCCAGCAGAGTGTCTGCTGTGGACTCATCTTGTGGTGTTTCAAATAATAATAATAATAATAATAATAATAATAATAATAATAATAATAATAACAACAACAACAACAACAACGATCCTGATCCTCTCCTTTGGGTATTAGCTACCTCTCCCAATTTGGTCCCACCTGCAAATTGGATGAGTATGCCTTCTGTTCTGTGATGCAAGTCATGTCCCAAAGTAGACACAGTTTATTGATTCTTCCAAGTGAGGTCTGGCTGTAAAGTTGTAAACACAGCCACCAAGTAGGACCGAAGCCCAAGCAAAGACACTGAAGCGGGAAGTGATCCAAAGTCAATAGTCCACTGTCACTAACTTGAGATAAAATAGTCTTTGGAAAAGAGTGGCATATCCAGAAGTCTGGTCTGAAGTCACAAACACAATATGCAAACAAAGCAAGACATCGACACCAGGACTCAGAGAAGGCTGAGAAGAGACATGATAGCTGGTTATAAATATGTGAGAGGAAGTCCTGGTCCCTCTCTCTTCTGCTTTGGTCAGACCTCTTTACCTGGAATCAAACTGTGTCCCTTTCTATACCCAACAGTTCAAAAGAAAAAAAGCCAATGGGATTTTGGCCTGCATCAAGAGGAGCATAGTGCCTAGATCTAGGGAAGTCATGCTCCCCATGCTCTATTCTGCTTTGGTTAGACCACTTTACCTGGAATACTGTGTCCAATTCTGGGCAACACAATTCAAGAGAGATATTGACAAGCTGGAATGTGTCCAGAGGAAGGTGACTAAAATGATCAAGGGTCTGGAGAACAAGCCCTATGAGGAGCGGCTTAAGGAGCTGGGCATGTTTAGCCTGAAGAAGAGAAGGCTGAGAGGAGATATGATAGCCATGTACAAGTATGTGAGAAGAAGTCACAAGGATGAGGGAGCCAGCTTCCTTTCTGCTTCCCTGGAGACTAGGACGCAATGGAACAATGGCTTCAAACTACAAGAGAGGAGATTCCATCTGAACATTAGGAAGAACTTCCTGACTGTGAGAGCCGTTCAGCAGTGGAACTCTCTGCCCCAGAGGGTGGTGGAGGCTCCTTCTTTGGAGGCTTTTAAGCAGAGGCTGGATGGCCATCTGTCCGGGGTGATTTGAATGCAATGTTCCTGCTTCTTGGCAGAATGGGGTTGGACTGGATGGCCCATGAGGTCTCTTCCAACTCTTTGATTCTATGATTCTATGAGAGGAAGTCCTGGTCCTTCTCTCTTCTGCTTTGGTCAGTCCTCTTTACCTGGAATCACACTGTGTCCCTTTCTATACCCAACAGTTCAAAAGAGATATTGACTCTAAGCTTGAAGGTGCCTGGCTAAGCCAACTAAAATGATCAAAGGTCTGGAGACCATTAATCCCTCTGAGGAACATCTTAAAGAGTATGTTCTGTCGCGTGCTGGGCCTGTAACAGCTGTACTTTTCTATAAGACGTATACTTTAAGTCCAGCGGGAAGCTAGGGGGCCTCAAAGAGAGGTTCTCAGGGATTTTTCTGAAGTGATGGTCTTTAGAGTCTTTAATGATACAACAAAGTCTTTATTATGGAACAAACAACAAATCTTCAATGGTTCAAACAACACTTCACGGCTTTCTTAGTCTAGTCCTCAATGGGCTGGCACCTGACTTTGATCAACTAAACTTTCTCTGTAGGAAAAACCCTTTTGAGTCGCCGAATTAGGCTGAAAAATGCGGTATAAAAATAAAGCAAATAAATAAATAAATAAATTTTTAACCTCTCCCAGGCTGTTTACTATCTATGCCTCATCGGTGTGGGTCCTACTACCGATTCCAAATGCGTCTGGGTATCGAGTAGACCTACCAGCCGAGGCTTGGAGATATTTCAGCTGGAGTTCCGTGGATCTGTAATGCTGTTCTCCCTTTGAGAATTCTTAGAAACTTCAAGACTATTCCCTCTGATTCTGTGAGGCTGAGAGGCTGTGAGCTCTCAGCCAGAGCTTTTGGGACCTTTCTCCTGGGATTTCTGCTTCTGTATCCCTGGATGTTACTTTTTCCCTGGATGGTTATTTTCCCCAGGATGCCCTTGAGAAAGGAAGCTTTTCTACGGGACGAGCTGGTCTACGTCCTATAGCTCAGCTTACTTGTGTGAGACTGCCCAAAAAATGGCTCCTTTCCCTCCCAGAGCCCAGAACAAGGGGCGGAACCAAAGCTTAATTATGATGGACAGGAGGCCTGTCCTATAACTGCAAAACAGATAACAGAAAGAAAATAAAGTTGGAGCTCTCAGTACGGCCGTACCAGCACAAGCTAGGTTTGTTTAGCCTGCAGAAGAGAAGGTCGAGAGGAGACATGAAATCCGTATATAAATATGTGAAAGAATGTCACAAGGAAGAGGGGGCAGGATTGTTTTCGGCTGCCCTGGAGACTAGGACGCAATGGAGCCATGGCTTCAAACTGCAGGAAAGGAGATCCCACCTGAACATGAGGAAGGACTTCCTGACTGTAAGGAGAGCTGTAGTGTTCAGCAGTGGAACTCTCTTTGCACCAAAGGGAATGTGGTGGAGGCTCCTTCTTTGGAGGCTTCGAAGCAGAGGCTGGATGGCCATCTGTCAGAGGTGCTTTAAATGCTTCTTGGCAGAATGGGGTTGGACTAGATGGCTCACCAGCTCTCTTCGAAGTCTAGGATTCTATGACTCAAATTTACAGAAGTATTTTGATAACAAACTGAGAAGGAGCAGAGTCAGGTCCTTGGTCAAGAGCAAAGCGACTCCAGCCAGATAATGGTGTTGTCTGCAGGGAGGGAGACGCAGTACTACTGAGAGCTTTATATCTCAAGATCTCACTGCTGCTTGATTAATGATCATTTCTCAGCTGATCTAAGAAAACATCTGTTGGGGGTGCTTTGATTGTACTTTGCTTGCATAGCAGGGGGTTGGACTGGATGGTCCTTGGAGTCTCTTCCAACTCTAGGATTTATGAGTCATTCTGATTACACCAAATTGGATGGCAGAGCTGTTGAGCTGAATGCATGCCCAAGAGTGCAAACCAAGGCATAGCTGATTATGCAGGCATGTGCCTCCACTTGTGTGCACATGGCTATAGCACATACGTGTGCATGCTCATCTGTGTGAATGTGTGCCTTGGTATGCAGAAAGGTATATTGTGCCCACCTCTGTGTTTGCAACCAGGAACTGAATGCTCATATTTGTTGCACTCCAGAACAGGATCCCTTCTGACTTTAAACACCACACAGCACACAGGAATGGTGGGAGTTGAAGTCCAAAACACCTGGAGGGCCCAAGCTTACCCATAATCTATTCCAGCAGTTATCTCAAGAGAAAAGCTTCATAGAATCATAGAATCCTAGAGTTGGAAGAGACTTCCTGGGCCATCATCCAGTCCAACCCCCTTCTGCCAAGAAGCAGGAATATTGCATTCAAAGCACCCCTGACAGATGGCCATCCAGCCTCTGTTTAAAAGCTTCCAAAGAAGGAGCCTCCACCACACTCCGGGGCAGAGAGTTCCACTGCTGAACAGCTCTCACAGTCAGGAAGTTCTTCCTCATGTTCAGATGGAATTTCTTTTCTTGTAGTTTGAAGCCATTGCTCCATTGCATCCTATTCTCCAGGGAAGCAGAAAACAATCCTGTCCCTTCTTCCTTGTGATATTATTTCAAATATTTATATACAAGCTTGCTCCCTCCTCCTCCCTGTGGCTTCCTCTCACATATTTATACATGGCTATCATATCTCCTCTCATCCTTCTCTTCTTCAGGCTAAACATGCCCAGCTCCTTAAGCCGCTCCTCATAGGGCTTGTTCTCCAGACCCTTGATCATTTCAGTCGCCCTCCTCTGGACACATTCCAGCTTGTCAATATCTCTCTTGAATTGTGGTGCCCAGAATTGGACACAATATTCCAGATGTGGTCTAACCAAGGCAGAGTAGAGCATGGGGAGCATAACTTCCCTGGATCTAGACACTAGACTCCTATTGATGCAGGCCAAAATCCCATTGGCTTTTTTTCCCGCCACATCACATTGTTGGCTCATGTTTAACTTGTTGTCCACGAGGACTCCAAGATCTTTTTCACACGTACTGCTCTCGAGCCAGGCCTCATCGTCCCCCATTCTGTCTCTTTGCATTTTGTTTTTCCTGCCAAAGTGGAGTATCTTGCATTTGTCCCTGTTGAACTTCATTTTGTTAGTTTTGGCCCATCATCTCTCTAATCTGTGAAGATCATTTTGAATCTTGCTCCTGTCCTCTGGAGTATTGGCTCTCCCTCCCAATTTGGTCCCGTCTGCAAACTTGATGATCCTGCCTTCTAACCCTTCATCTCAGTCATTAATAAAGATGTTGAACAGGACTGGGCCCAGGGCTTCAGAGAATGTCCTCCTTGTGTTTCCACCTTCTCCAACACTTTCCTCTCCCTTTCCCCCTGCAAGGTGACCAATGACGAGATGTGTGAAGTGTGCGAGGTCTGGACGGCGGAAACCCTGCTCCCCTGCCGCGTCTGCACCAGGGTCTACCACGACGGCTGCCTGCGCCGGATGGGCTTCCTACCCGACGGCAATGCCACCGAAGTCCTGGAGACTGCCCATACGGAGACCGGGTGGAGCTGCCACTGTTGTGTAAGCCGTGGGGCTGGATATGTGGAAGGCGGGTGATAGAAGGTCGAGTTGCATAAGGAAGTGACACCTGGCTTGAAAACAGTACACGTGAAAGGGATATAGGAGTGCATTGCTGTGAGTTTTCCAGACTGTATGGCCATGTTCCAGTAGTATTTTTTCCTGATGTTTCGCCTGCATCTGTGTCTAATGGCATCTTCAGAGGTCGGTTGGCAGTGAGGCAAGTGGAGTGTATATATGCCTATGGAATAATGTCCAGGGTGGGAGAAAGGACCTGTTGTGGTTCAGTCTGAGCTTTCTGAGCCTGAGTTTCCTCAGGATGAGGAGGATGATGGGTTATAGATTTCTGAACATGTTCCGGTTAGTGAGACAAATGAAGCAGACAGTGGTGATTCTGAAGAAGAGATGGCATTTCTGTTCCCCAGAGAAAAGAATGCAGTTTTAGATCAAGATAGTGAAACTTCAGATCTCCTTCTGGGAGCTCAGGGCCTCTTGGTTCCCAGGGTGACCAGGCCCAACAGGGCAAAGATAATGAGCTATTTGGCCTTGAAGATAGTGGAGACTTGATTAGACAGGACCATTTACAATTAAGAGTTTGCAGAAGCGAATGCCTTGCCAACAAACGTGAAGCTAGAGGTCAACGTAATGCTTTCATGTTGGAGAAACGTATTTAATTATTTGATTGAAGGGCCTTCTTTGTCAGTCCAATGTTGCTTATACCCTGTTAACTTCTGTGGAAATGCCTTGGCTTTTGCGGAAAGCTTCTGGCTCCTTGGGACTTTGATTTTGATCCTGATTTTTGGAGACCTTGTCTTGCTACCATGGACTCTTGTTTAACCAATGCTAAAGGACTATGCTTCATGATATTTGCCTTTGGATCTTGGGAACTTTGCCTTTGCATTTAAGACTCTGTTTTGCCTATTGAACTTTTGCATCTTTACTTCTCTACTTGATTTTGCTTTTTCTCAATAAACTACAAAACCTACAGCCTTGGTGTGTGGTGGTGTCTTGAGCAAGGTGAATCTATCTTGAGTTGCGACAGGACCCTTGTCTGTGTGAGCAAGCGTGAATGTTGCAATTAGCAAGCTTGAATAGCATTGAGTAGCCATGAAGTTTGCAAAGCCAATCAGTGAGGGTATCTGCATAGAGGTGGCCTGGCTGTTGTTGCCTGGAGATATCATCTGCTTAGGAGGTGTTAATTGGCCCTTGACTGCTTGCTGTCTGGAGTTCCCCTGTTTCTGAGCGGCATTCTTTATTAACTGTCTTGATTCTGGTGGTTTTTAATACCACTAACTAGATTTTGTTAAGGTTTTTTGGGGTGTCTGGCTGTGTTCCAGAAGCATTCTCTTCTGAGGTTTCGCCTGCATCTGTGGTAAGCATCCTCAGAGGTTGTGAGGTTTGTTGGCAACTACTTACTTAGGCGATCCCTCGTAGTCAGAGGATGATGGTCCTCCAAGGTTGGTGTTCTGGCGGTGTGTCTGTGACTGTGGAGCCCTCTTCTTGACCTGCATCTTCTCCCACAGTGAGAGCATCGGTTTCCAGGTGGAAGGCGGTCCTGGTCGAGGTTGGCTTGACACGCCTTCCTCTTGGCACGTTTCTCTCTTTCACCCTCCATTCGTGCCTCTTCAAATTGTACAGCACTGCCGGTCACAGCTGACCTCCAGCTGGAGCGCTCAAAGGCCAGGGCTTCCCAGTTCTCAGTGTCTATGCCAGAGTTTTGAAGGTTGGCTTTGAGCCCATCTTTAAATCTCTTTTCCTGCCCAACAACATTCCGTTTTCCATTCTTGAGTTCAGAGTAGAGCAACTGCTTTGGGCATCCGGACAACGTGGCCGGTCCAGCGGAATTGATGGTGGAGGACCATCGCTTCAATGCTGGTGGTCTTTGCTTCTTCCAGCACGCTGACATTTCCCCGCTTGTCGTCCCAAGGCATTTGCAGGATTTTCTTTAGGCAGCGCTGATGGAATCGTTCCAGGAGTTGCATGTGATGTCTGTAGACAGTCCACGTTGGCAACTAGGAAAATTGGGTTTATATGTCTGTGGAAAGTCCAGGGTGGGAGAAAGAACTCTTGTCTGTTGGAGCTAGGCCTGCATTCTTCAACTGGCCACCTTGATTAGCATTTGATGGCCCGACAGTTTTTAGATGGGCAGAAAAGCGGGCAGGAAGAATATGTTCTCTCTCTTGCCATGATTCTCTTGCTTCTTGCTGTACATCTGTTGCTGATATCTGTTACCGTCATGAGCATATCTCTGTACAGGTCATTGACTGGTAGGAGATTCAGGGATTCTGATGTGTGTGTGTGTATATAGCTGTGCATAGAGCAGTGTGTCCAGATTAAAAGCCTTCCCTGTGAGTTTGGATGAAAACTGAGTCAAAGAGTTTTCTTAAACAGTGAATGGCACAAGATCTGGCTGTGCAGTAAAAACTCTGCTGACGACTGATAAGGACTCTGCTATGTATGGGTTATTTTTCTAGCTTGCCTCTGAGACAATCAGTCTGGTGTGCACCGTAGGGAGGGCGTGATTGAGGAAGGAGAAAACTATAAATCATACATTCATCCCGTCTTTTTGGCAGGGCTGACCCCGACTCTCTTCTTCCCCCCTCCAGGACAATCTTAACCTGCTTCTCACAGACGAGGAAATGGGCCTCTTGTCTGAATCCTTCAAGAAATGCAAACTCTCCCCTGGTAAGTCAGCTAAAACCTCACTGGAAATGCCTTTTCAGGGGTGTAATGCTTGGGATGGGGGCCAAATGTGTAGGACCAAATCAGTAGGGATTCTACTTATCCAAAAGGAAACTTTCCTGCAGGAACTTTTAACAATTGGGTTGAATGGGTTGTTGTAGGTTTTTCCGGGCTTATATGACCATGTTCTGGAGGCAATTTTTCTCCTGACGTTTCGCCTGCATCTATGGCAAGCATCCTCAGAGGTAGTGAGGTCTGTTGGAAGTAGGAAATCTGTGGAATGACCAGGGTGGGACAAAGGACTCTTGTCTGCTGGAGCTAGGTGTGAATGTTTCAGCTGATCACCTTGATTAGCATTCAATGGCTTGGAAGTGCCTGGAGGGAATCTTTTGTTGAGAGTGATTTTATGTGCCTGTTTGTTTCCCCTCTGTTGTTTTCTCACAGCCATTCTCACAACCACCATGTCAGATTACACAGAGCAGCCATTGAAGTGATCAGCTAATCAAGGTGATCAGCTGAAACATTCACACCTAGCTCCAGCAGACAAGAGTCCTTTGCCCCACCCTGTTCATTTCCACAGATATATAAACCCATTTTTCCTACTTCCAACAGACCTCACTACCTCTGAGGATGCTTGCCATAGATGCAGGCAAAACGTCAGGAGAAAAATTGCCTCCAGAACATGGCCATATAGCCCAGAAAAACCTACAACAACCCAGTGATTCCGGCCATGAAAGCCTTCAACAATAAATTGGGTCAAATGTTTAAAAATACAATCCAGGCCTCCAAATCCAATGGGTGGCAAACTGTCTTGGCCGCACAGGAAAAGGGGACCCAGTGTTTGCTTCTTCTTGCCTGCTTTTTGTTTTTGCAGAGAGCCCACTCAGCCTGGAGGAGTTTCTGAACTACAAACGCCTGGCCGGTCAGCAAGAGGCCGAGGGTCCGAACACCAGCAATGAAGGCGAGGGCCCCGAAGAACTGTTTACCCTCGACTTTGCAGCGCTGGACCCCGAAAAGAAGGGCTGTGTCGAATGGGGGGACTTTCTTTCCCACGAGTCCATCCTGCTCTTGCAAAGGAGGCGCACGCAGGTGGGTGACGGGGAAAACGGAGTGGGTGCAAATGAGAAAGAAGGGATTCCAGCCAATTCTCTCACACCAGAAGCGACTTGCAGTTTCTCAAGTCGCTCCTGACACGACATGACCTCAACAGGAGGAAGACCTTTCCCCCTGTGAGACCTGGCAGGCTGAAGAACATCTTGCCTTGGAGGGTGGTGGGCTCCCTTCCTTTGGGGGTCTCTAAACAGGGGTAATATCCTCCTGCCTGGCTGGAGGGGGCAGGACTAGATGACCTTTGAGGTCCCTTTTCCAGCTTTTATGCTTTCATATTCATGCCTTAGGTTCATGATTCCTGATTTCTTGCATATTGTTTGGGAAGTTTTGACTTTGTTTTTATGGACTTTGCTGGACTTTTACTCTGGACTACTTTGTTCCTGCTTATCTTCTTACCTAATTGGATTTACCTATTTCTTTAAAGTGGTTTTTACTTTCCTGCTTTTTAATCATCTTCAATAAAAGGATTGTTTGCCTAGCCAATGTTGTGGTGTTTAAAGTCAGAGGGCTTTTCCTGTCCTGGAGTGCAACAGTTATAGTGTTACATTAATCCACTGATCCTCCCTTTGAGATGTCCACCGGTGACCTCTGGCTTCTTTCCACAGAACGCTCTTCTGCGCCTTCTGACCGGGAAGGAGAGGGAGAGGGCTCGAGCTGCATTCCTGGCCTTGGATCCACCTGAGGACGGCTTGGTCAGCGAAGGAGAGAGCCAGCGCACCCAACACTCATGGTTTCGTAAGCGGCACAAGGAGATGCCCTCCTGCAACGTCAGGTGAGGTGTTCCCTGGAGCCAGGTGTCTCCCTTGCAAGCCACAGATCCCTCCAATATAGATCTGGAAATACGTGTCACACAAAACAGCTAGGCGAGACACCATCTGTGAGCTCTTCTACACAGGCCCTAAAACATGCAAGAAACTGAGATTAAAGGGAATGGGTGGCTAAAGGACATTTAAGAAAAATGCACACTGATTCTAACTAACAGCTGAAAAACACATGCTGTAAAGGTGTGCTTAAAACTCAATTTTGCCAAAACATGTGCATATTCACACGACTATATATCCCTGCAGTCAAGGGAAACATGGGACTTCATTGCGATATGCTGGTGTGGACTGCTCCAGCACATGAGCACATTTTACAATCCCGAAACAACTCATGAGGGCTGTAAACAAATGGATACAAAAGTGGCTAAATGGAAGCACAATTGGAAAGCAATTCCCATGAGAACTTTCTGCAACTGTTCCTTTGTTTTGATGTTTATGAAATTAAACACAGCTTGAATTTACAGTAGGGTGAGGAGAGATAGTAAGAAATCTGGTTGTGTTTACACTTAGATATCCAAATTAGCATATCTCAGAGAGTCAATTAAAGAAATTAAAGTTAACTTCCATCAAGTGTCCCCCCGGCATCTTGTGGATTTCTGAAATCCACTACAAAGGAAGGTGTCGGGACGGTGGGGGAGCATTTACCAGCTCTGTGTTTGGATTTGCTGTCAGGTCCCAGGATTTTTTTGTCCACTTATTTGTCCCACATTTTGACGCTGTCTGGAAGTGCCCCAGATTGCAGACCCATCCAGTTGGTAGATGTCATGGCTTCTGTGTGAATGGAGCTACAGATCTGCTCTGGGTTTCAATCTGAACTTCAAAAGAGCTCTCCAAGGCTCCAACTCCATTATATGAGTTTATACTGACCACATAACGTGGTGTCGAGGGGGCTGGTGATGCTAGTTCTCCTTGGATAGAATGCAGATAGCTCTTTGGAAGTCCAGACTGAAACCCAAAAAAGTTCCTTCCATAACTTACTGTAGAAACAGGATCCCTATTGAACCTAGAACAAACATGGGCAAACTTGGGCCCTCCAAGTGCTTTGGACTTCAACTCCCACAATTAGAATTGTTAGAATTGTGGGAGTTGAAGTCCAAACATCTGGAGGACCCGAGTTTGCCCATTTCTGACCTAGAACATCCCTAGAGAGGACAAACCTGGGTCTGGTCTAACCCACCTTGGGCCTCCCTTCCTCCCACAGCATCAGCCATGTGGGGCCCATCTCCGAGGGCAGCCCCACCACCAGCACCAGCAGCAGTAAGAGCCAGGAGAAGCTCCTCTTGAACCCAGAGCCAGAGAAGCCCAGGTAAGCCCTCACCAGGGGGACACAGGTGGGCAGACCCCTCCCCAGTCCCATCAGTGCCCTTACTCTATGTCTTGATTGAGTTTATATCTCAGCTCTCATATATAGATGGAGCCTATATATTTATATCCTTGGATCCGATGTATTTCCGTGTGTGTGTGTGTGTGTGTATTATCTGGTATTTGATGGAGATGCAGATATGGATATGGATGGGGATATGGAGATGAAAATGTAGATATAGATATGGATGGACATGGAGATATGGATATGGATGGAGATGGAGATGTAGATCTAGATAGATATAGGTATGGATGGGGATGGAGGTATGAAGATGGAAATATAGATACAAATATAGATAGATATAGATATGAATGGAGATATGAATATGAAGGGAGATATGGAGATGGAAATACAAATATGGATATGGATGGAGATGGAGATATAGATAAGGATAAGGATGGAGATATATAGGTATAGAAATGAATGGAGATGGAGATATGGAGATGGAAATATAGATATAGATATGGATGGAGATGGAGATATAGATATGGATATGAATGGGGTGGAGTTATGGAGATGGAAATATAGATATAGCTATGGAGATGGGGATATAGGAGGTATGGATATGAATGGGGATGGAGATATGGAGAAGGAAATATAGATATAGATATGAATGGAGATATAGATGTTATTTATTTATTTATTTATTTATTTATTTATTTATTTATGTGTTTAGAACTTTTATATACTGGTCTTCTCGACCTCGAGAGGGACTCAGATTCATAACAGTAGTTTAAAAACCTCACACCATATAACACACTAATAAATAAAATACTTTAAAAGCAATCATATAATTACATAAAGCCAAGATATGGATATGAACAGGGAGGAGTTATGGAGATGGAAACATAGATATAAATATGGAGATGGAGATATGGATATGGAAGGGATGGAGAGATGGAGATGGAAATATAGATATAGATATGGACGGAGTTCTTGGTGGGATGGGCATCCCAAGCCCCCTTCCCTCTCTCCTGAGGAATCTGGACAAGGACCAAGGAGCAACAGTCAGAACTGACCACGGAACAACAGACTGGTTCAAGATTGGGAAAGGCGTCCGGCAAGGCTGCATCCTCTCACCCAACCTTTTTAACTTGTATGCAGAACACATCATGCGATGTGCGGGGCTTGATGAATGCAAAGCTGGGGTGAAAATTGCTGGAAGAAACATTAACAACCTCAGATATGCAGATGACACCACTCTGATGGGCGAAAGCGAGGAGGAGCTGAGGAGCCTTCTAATCAAGGTGAAAGAAGAAAGCGCAAAAGCCGGGTTGCAGCTAAACATCAAAAAAACCAAGATTATGGCAACAAGAATGATTGACAACTGGAAATAGAGGGAGAAAATGTGGAGGCCGTGACAGACTTTGTATTTCTAGGTGCAAAGATGACTGCAGATGCAGACTGTGGCCAGGAAATCAGGAGACGCTTACTTCTTGGGAGGAGAGCAATGTCCAGTCTCAATGAAATAGTGAAGAGTAGAGACATCAGACTGGCAACCAAGATCCATTGCCTAGTCAAAGCCATGGTATTCCCTGTAGTCACCTACGGATGTGAGAGCTGGACCTTAGGGAAGGCTGAGCGAAGGAAGATCGATGCTTTTGAGCTGTGGTGTTGGAGGAAAGTTCTGAGAGTGCCTTGGACTGCGAGAAGATCCAACCAGTCCATCCTCCAGGAAATAAAGCCCGACTGCTCACTGGAGGGAAGGAGACTAGAGACAAAGTGGAAGTCCTTTGGCCACATCATGAGGAGACAGCAAAGCCTAGAGGAGACAATTATGCTGGGAAAAGTGGAAGGCAAAAGGAAGAGGGGCCGACCAAGGGCAAGATGGATGGATGGCATCCTTGAAGTGACTGGACTGACCTTGAAGGAGCTGGGGGTGGTGACGGCCGACAGGGAGCTCTGGCGTGGGCTGGTCCATGAGGTCACGAAGAGTCGGAGACGACTGAACGAATGAACAACAACAATGGACGGAGATGGAGATGGAGATATGGATAAGGATGGGGATGAGATATGGAGAAATGGATATGGAAATATAGATATGGATGGGGATGGAGATGTGGAAATGTAAATCTCCTAGTCCTCCAGTGCAGCTCTGAGGCAAACTTTCTCCAGTCCTGCAAGAGAGCCTAGAGATTTCTGGAGAGAACAACTCCTTAGGAAGGTGTAGGTCAGGGGTCTACAAACCTTTTAAACAGAGGGCCAGATCATAGTCCCTCAAACTGTTGGAGGGCCGGATTATAATTTGAAAAAACATGAATGAATTCCTATGCACACTGCACGTATCTTATTTGCAATGCAAAAAACACTTAAAAACAATACAATAATTAAAATGAATAATAATTTTGACAAATATGAACGTATTGGTATTTCAATGGGAACGGTGGGCCTGCTTTTGGCTGATGAGATAGGATTGTTGTTGTTGTTTTGTGCTTTCAAATAATTTCAGACTTAAATTGACCCTGAGTGAGGGCCGGGTAAATGAGCTTGGAGGGCCGCATCCGGCCCCCGGGCCTTAGTTTGAGGACCCCTGGTGTAGGTTCTCCAATGCGCTTCTATGGTCAACTTCCTCTGGTCATGCTGGAGGACCAGCCCCAGCAAATGTGCAGGGCTGATAGCATTTATTGTTTACTAGCAGATAGGATTTCTGGGAGTTGAAGGCCAAAACACCACTTGTGCTGTCACACCCAGACCCTATAAAAATAAACTAAGATGTGCTTTTCTCTTTGTCTGGGCGGACTGCGGGGGTCTTTCTTTAGAAGCTTGAGATTTCCAGCAACTGAGGCTACTACAGGTTTGAACATCAAAACAGAATTTTTTTTCTCAAAGTCCTTGCAGACTTGGCACAGCTTGGCAAAATTTCAAACAAAACAGTCAACTGGTGAAACAATAGAGATGATCTTTCTTTCTTTTTCTTGAGTTACTGAGGCAACTTTTCCCCAAAATGTCAGAAGAAGTTCCTGGGACCTTTTCACCCTAACCCTGAGCTGCTATGGTTAGGAAAAAAGCAGGTTTTTCCCCTATCTATAGCTCAAGGTTACCTTTGGAGATGAAGTAATGCTTAATATATAATTCAATACCTATCCTATCTATCTATCTATCTCTATAGTACTCAATAACTTCTCTATCTAAATCTCAATATGCTTCTATATAACTCAATTTGTTCTGTCACGCGCTGGGCCTGTAAATAATTGTCTTTAGAACAGGATGTGCAACCTTTGCCCAGCGGGAAGCCAGGGGGCCTAAAGCGAAGTTCTCAGAGGTTTCCACCACAAACAGTCTTTAGATGGCTTGAGAAGTACAACAAAGTCTTTTATTAATGAACAATCAAACAAACTTCTCTTGTCTTCAGTAAAGTTAAGCAAATGATTCCAAGCTTTTAGGCAACTGGTGAATTCCTAATCTTGCCCACGAAGGACAGGCAACTGTCTTCAATAACTTCTTTTTTAAAGGAAAATCCCCTTTTTAACTTCTCCCAGGCTGACTGTAATCTAACCCTTACTGATGTGAGCTCCGCTACCGGGTTGAACTGCATCTCGAACGCCGAGTGGACCTACCAGTAAGGCAGTAGATGTTCTCCAGCTGGAGTTCTTTGGTCTTTAGGGCTGTTTTCCTGGAAATCTTTGGAGACTCTTAAGACTGTTTTACATCGGAACCTTGCACACATCCTGTACATTAGCTTTCCTTGCTGAGACTAACTAAAAAAATGGCTCCCTTCCCTTCCCAATTGCCCTGAGCAAGGGACGGGACCAAAACTTAATGATGATGGACAGGTGGCTTGCCCTATGACTGCAGCCAAAAGAAGCCACCTATCTGCAGAGTCCCTGAAACTTAGGACTGCAAACAAACATTCAATGCAAAGCAAACAAAATCGGAGCTCCTGGTACAGCTGTACCAGAACACAATTAGTTCTTACAATGGTTTTTTCAGAGTTACCTGCTGACCAACAGCACATCTGAAGCTTTCTTTCTCAACTGAAGGAGGCAGGGGAGATTCAAAAATGGAGATCTCAACCTAGGAAAAAAGGCGGTCTCTAGACCCAAAGAGATACTTTCTAAACCAATAGCTGCAAAAGGAGGCCTGCAGACTGGCTTTCCAGCCTCTTCCACCACCCCCTCCCAAGATGGGATCCAAGGTGGTTTGTATATATTTAAACCAAAATATAGCTTTCGAAAACAGCTGCCATTAATATCCCAGAGGAGCCAAGGTCATAAGCTATTTATGCAAACATTAAGCATGCCATCTTATTAAAAAGACCGATTTCACCAAAAACTGGATGAAAGGTGACCTTGCAGCAGAGAATTTGTGGATCCAGGCGACCGGAGACGCTATTTGTTATTCGAAGACTCAAAAATAAGGAAACGTAAATCCAAAACCCTTTTGCTGAAAGATGACTTCCCTTTATTGTCTGCGTCAACAACAATTTGCAACGGCGGCTCAGCATTTCAGATGCTGCAAGGGAGGAAAGAAGGAAGGGAGACCATCCGATCCGCCGGGTGATTGATGCTTCTTGACAAGCGGGGAGAGGCCTGCCTTGGCTCCTTCCCTCCTTAGCAGAGCGTTCTGTGCTTCGATGGGTGGGCTTAAATACTGTCGGTTGAGGAAGGCTGTTTCCTCATCAACCTGCCTGCTGTCATTTTGTAAAATAATTGAAAACAAAGGTTAAAAATACACATTAAAATGACAAGCAGCCCTCTCCTGTTTTCATAGAATCATAGAATCAAAGAGTTGGAAGAGACCTCATGGGCCATCCAGTCCAACCCCATTCTGCCAAGAAGCAGGAATATTGCATTCAAATCACCCCTGACAGATGGCCATCCAGCCTCTGCTTAAAAGCTTCCAAAGAAGGAGCCTCCACTACACTCCAGGGCAGAGAGTTCCACTGCTGAACGGCTCTCACAGTCAGGAAGTTCTTCCTCATTTTCAGATGGAATCTCCTCTCT